TAGTAAATAAACTGTACAATATACAGTGTGAATTCGTGGCTATCGCAAATATCGAGACAAAAATCGGCTTAAAATGTTTTAATTATTTCGGATTCACCTACTATCAACCGTTTTTAACGACCGATTGCCAATAATATCATTATGATAATGCGTTTTGTCGGTCAAGAGCGAGACGTGTACCTATTTTTTTTGATTCAAGGTTAATATTTTTCGCGTGTTATCGTATTAGTTTCAGCCATCAAGTCACGTAATAGTGTTATGATTTTTCATTATTATTATTATACAGTATAATATATAGGTATCGACGAGCATTGAGACTAGCTGACAGATAATGATCGTCCGTTGATTTATATGATTCACCCGGTACGCGACAATTTTGTAAAATCAAAAATCCTTCAGAGGTTGACCACAGTTATCAATATTAAAGAGTAGAATTGGAATTTCGGACATATTTATCTATGGACCTACGTCTAGGTGTGTGGCTAAAAATGTATATATAGGAAGAATAAAATTTCTATTCAAAATTGAACGTTAAAACAATCTGTAATTTCTTCCTTTTGGCTTAGCCGCTTAGGTATACCGTTTAAAGGTATTCGTTTTAATACGAGACCCAGCATTTTGTTTATTTAAATCATTACCTACCTATCACTACCTACAAAAAATGTATTCATGCCAAAACTCAAAGAGTGCATCAGAAAATTGTTATAAAACAATCTGCGAACTATTTACGTAATAGGTAAATATTTTATTGTTTGTAAAATAAATTGCACTATTCAAATATTTTTTTAGTTTTAATTATTTATTATATCTACAGAAGCCATACAACTTATTATAGTGCATTTATTCAACTGATTCAAATTCGTTAAATATATACATTTGTGTATACCTACGTTTTCCCACGGGCTAATGAAACGAAACATAATCGCTCGTTCATAGTCACGTTGTGTTGAGTATAAATATAAATGGCTATATCGCGGTTTTATTGTTTAACATTTTTAATGCTTGAATTGCGACATCAACCCCTCAGGATGATTCACCAAACACATTCACCACTTTTTCTTCAAAATTCACTTATTCAAAACCTGATTTTTGGAATTTTGAAGTATACTTAAAGACCATATTACAAAATTATTGAAATTTTTTTGTAAGTACTATTGAAGGAGTGTTTTGTGGAGATACAAATTTCTGTTTTTCGAATGAGAACTTCTATTTTTTATTGTAAATAAATATTATTATGAGTGGATGACTTTTCTGAAAATGTTGACGTATCAAAATCAAAATTCAAAAGTGTAGTTTTTGAGTTATTTAATTTTGTTTTTTCGTGTTCTAAGAGTTTGTTTTCAAAAAACATTATCCACTTAATAATTTACAATAAAAAGGGGGAGGGTCCTCATTTAAAAAGCAGAAGTTACAAGTGTCCCTCAGTGTAGTCTTTTGAAATGGGTACTCCTTAATTAGCACAAAAATCTTAAGTACTTATATGAAAATAAGGTCTTTAAAATATATATTATAATGTGTTTAAAAATTCCAATAATTAGAATTAATTATAAAAGGGAAAAAATGGGGGTGACCATGCTCGGGGAATCATCCTGAGGGGTTGATGTCGCAATTCAAGCATTAAAAGTGTTAAACAATAAAACCGCGATATAGCCATTTATATTTATACTCAACACAACGTGAATTTGAACGAGCGATTATGTTTCGTTTCATTAGCCCGTGGGAAAACGTAGGTATACACAAATGTATATATTTAATGAATTTGAATCAGTTGAATAAATGAACTATAATAAGTTGTATGGCTTCTGTAGATATAATAAATAATTAAAACTAAAAAAATATTTGAATAGTGCAATTTATTTTACAAACAATAAAATATTTACCTATTACGTAAATAGTTCGCAGATTGTTTTATAACAATTTTCTGATGCACTCTTTGAGTTTTGGCATGAATACATTTTTTGTAGGTAGTGATAGGTAGGTAATGATTTAAATAAACAAAATGCTGGGTCTCGTATTAAAACGAATACCTTTAAACGGTATACCTAAGCGGCTAAGCCAAAAGGAAGAAATTACAGATTGTTTTAACGTTAAATTCTGAATAGAATGGTTAATTTAATTATAGACTAACTTAAAATTAACACGAGTATACAGACTATAAAGATTAAGAGAAAGTTAAAAGAAACAAGAAAATTACTCTTTTACCGAACTCGACAATTATTTATATTACTAATCTGTGTGTATAACTTAACTATTGCATGGATCTTTATGTAAAACGAGGACGAAACGATGAAAATACCATTAATATGACAATGAATAGTTTTTGATGAGAACATGACATAACGTGGTAAATTACGAGTAATATATATTATATAATAATATTGTAATCATCGAAAATTTCTATAATTTAAATCAATGTTATTATTAATAATAACATAAATCTATGTAAACCTGCAACAGTTATAGTGTTATAAATTTGGCTGTCATAAATAAATGTATGAATATAGTCGTAAACTAATAAATTAATGTATAACGTTCAATTTTTTATACAGGATTTAATAATTTTCAACAGAACTAATATCGTGGCAGCACGTGCGATTTATATTAAAAAAATATTATATTACCATACATTATTTAAACAACGATATAATATTTTAATGGATGTCTCGTAATAATAAACAATACATCTTGGTTTATGAAAAAATATAATATTTTTAATAATATCCGTTATAACGAAAACATTAAAAAACAGAAAAATCCACAATATTGTTGAGCCTATATTACGAAAAAATAACAAATGCAGGGTTATTATCTTACAATATAATGAATGATATAAATTTGAATCTCGATGTCAATGAACGTTTTTTAAATTATAGGGAACTGTAATTTTAATTAAATTATTGGTTTAGGAAGTGTCATTCCTACATAGGTGCTTCTTCTAACAAAAGGTAAATCATCGTATTATTTTATTTTAACTATTTCTATGAAAAAAAACTCACCATTGAAAAACAATCAGTTTCCTTTTCGAATTGGTATAGATAAGTTATTAACACATATTTAGTATTTTTACCCCTGAAATAAATTTCTTGGAAATTTGCAGAACAATTTAAATTTTAAATTTTGAATTATTGTTTCAAAATGTCTTAATTATATAAGACATGTAATGAAATATTATAACATATTTACTGAAACGTGCAGGTGGACAGTATTACAGTAGGCAGTATTCACGATAAACCGTGAATAAGACCCTTCCGGCCTTACCACAACCGGACTTAAGTACAACACGACTTAAAGTAAGTTTAAGAATGTTTTGATTGTAGGTGCGGTTATAAATTAAAATTTAAAAGTACTTAATACGATTAGAATTTATGAAATGTAGTACAAAATTCGAATACCTAAATATGGGTAGAACACGATTCCGCACGTTCATTGTTCTATATTACCTTTTTTTTCTACCCAACTCCGTATTGTATTCGAATGCGACGTTGCCATGTAACGAATGCGATTCCGCACGTTTATTCTTGTAACATGAGATTGATACAATTAGTGCATATTATTTAGGATTATTTACTACGACATTTCAAGTTCAAACTAATTGAAAATAAGATAAGTCCGGGTCTTTTGATAAAGTCGATAAAGATAACAATATACATTAAATTACATGTGTTCTATACTTTAACCAGCGTTCAGCATAATTTACCGAGCATCCGAGTCTATATGATTTGATTAATATTTGTTATGCGACCTAACATTATAACGATAATCTCGTAATGACGAGATTATTTTGATAAATTACCCATAATATAGTTGTTGGTTGGTGTTATCAGTATGGCGATGGTAAAGTATACTATAGTCTAGTCAGAACTGTCTGGTTAAAACGCAGCGCGTGTGTACGAAATTTTACAGTGTTAAAATTTATATTGATATGCATGGATAATCAATTGGAGATAATAAAATCTGAAAAGGGCAACGATTTAGCGTTGGTAAATACATGTAAATATCGGCATATTCGTCAACGAAATCGGCTCACTAGGTATAGATATTTACTAGGGATAACTATTTTTATTATATATTTTTTACAATAATTATTATATTTTTTTTTTATAATATAATTTATAATATTATTATACATTTTGTATAATAAACCGTTTGTAATAAATTTGACAACGTTGCACCCAATTCCTATTGTATTCCTATGAACAATAAAGTGTGCGGAATCGTGTTCAAAAAAAAAAAAAACGTGCGGAATCGTATTCCTCCCCTAAATATGTACATGCAGATTTATACATATAATATTATAATATCAAACGTTTCTGTGAACTCAACAACAGATCTTACCATAATGAGACTTATATCAGTTATATCATTGTAATTGAATGGGTCGATGGAATTAGTATAATATTAGCATCACTATTGTCCTAAACTACGATATTGCGACCGCATAATCAGATCAAACAAAATAGCATATATCGTACGATAATATTATAATGTAGGTATCCGGATAGTGATTTACGGATAATTAATATCGTTCAGCTCCCAAGTGTAAAACTATACAGTCGGCCCTTATTAATTTATGAGGGAGGGGAGGGGGAATCATTATGACAACGACATTGAACCTTACGTCTTGGTTTTTCGCTTTCTGCAGCACGTCGCGGGCGTGAAGGTGAAAGTGGTGGTGGTGGCGGTCGCCAATCTACCGCCGAGGAACTTAACGGTTTTTTAGCGGTTTAGTCGTAAACAAATAGTGGTGGCCGTTTGCCAAAAAAAATAAACATTTAAGTCTATAACAATTATATTAGGTATACAAATTAATCCGATCGGACTGACGTTTGTGTTTAATTCTCTTGTTAATTTTTTGGTTTCGTATTATAGTTCTATATTATGCGTTTTTAAAATGCGATTAACCGACACAGATAGGTAAATATCGTCGCGGCCGACCGGGGGGAAATTCAGGAGTTCGGTTTCTTTCTACGCTCAATCTCGCGCGAGTTTTTCCCCGAATCATGTTAAGACCGGTCGACATAGTATACACTCTGCTCGCCATCCTACAGCAAATGGTGCATTCGCAAGGTGAGTATTTGTTTTGGAATAAATAAAAATTAAATGCTAAATTCGCAGATTAATAGGTCTTCCCGAAGCGTCGCTGCTGTAGAAGCGACAAAATATGCTATTTATAAGTCTTTCGCAGAGTCCTCGACGGCGGGAAAATTTAAAACTATATAGCTTGTACACACATACCATGTCATAATATGTATGTGTTTTGACGGGCGACATATATATCTCTTGCAGGACGCGACGTAATCCATTTACACAAGTCCTGAGAAACTTTCGCTAATTATTTCATATAATTCACACGCGCTCAAAGTAAATTACCGTTTTCCGTTTAACGTACGTGTGTAATCTTTTATACGTCTGTTGACCGCATAAGTTATGGTACCAATGAGATAGTTCAACGATAGTATGGCAACAAAAAATATAGCGTAAAAACTATGTGATGGACAAAAATAAATCGTATAATCGTAGGTACTGTGCGGTTTATAGGACCTACATATCTGTCCCGAATTTACACTGTATTGAAGTTTGTTAATTTTAAGCTAAACATCTTGCAGGGAACGCCTTAATTTGTTGTTTGTTATTATATGCGGTAACGATAGACGTCATAATATATTACATAGGTAATGGCATGCGAGGTATATATGACTAATTATTTGACTATATGTATATTACGATTATTGAGCAAACGAGGAATAACGGATGAAAATTATGTTATTGATAATATTATTCCAGAGTTTAGATTTAGGTACCATCTACGATTACAATATAATATAGTGCACCGTGCACGTTTAATTTACAATTATGAAAACGTTAGTTTACAAATTTAAAATGCGAATATTATAATACATATATACATAATATTAAATATATGAATATTGCAGAATTTGTATGAATTGCAATAGTCGTGACATCAATATCGCTAATTTTCAAGCCATTATTATAAAACGTACAAGTGATAGATACAATTATTACGATTTAATTCTGAGAGAAAATTATAATATCTGAAGTCGTTATATTGGCGATTCTTCATCTGTAATTGTGTTCACAGGTCGTTGCGTCGGATTAGGATTTCTTTTCAGTTTTATGTCTATCATTTAAAAATCGCCAACCAAAACGACAAAACGTACACTTTCGTTCAAATAATAATGATAATTGTGTACGAGTAGATTCTGAATAAAATATTGTCACGGCAAAGCGTTAAATTTTTTTCCAACCCGCAAACGGCATCTGCCTCACTATTACAATTATTTTTTTTGTATTTTTATGCTGAATTTATTTTGTAGGTACGAGTTAAAATTTTTTGGCGATGTTTTCAATTTTTTATTATATTCGACGTGTGCGACATTCTTGTGCCGTGAAGTTTATTCGAAAGAAATTGGCAATTCTATCCGTACCACCAATATTGTATACTTAAACAATTATTATTACTAGAACTATTTGAATAAATCTAGAAAATCGAATGTGTATGTATAGACGTATAGCGTATGTATAGAAAGGAATTGGTAAAAACAATTTTTCATTTTTATTCTATATAAAGAAAATTGCATTGAACCGGTAGCGGTTGTTCCGGTAGAGACAAATTGTTTTGATTTTATGACGTTCGCCTTAAGTCGGACGACTTATACCTAGGTATATACATTATTACTGTGTGTAGGTCCTTTTTATTTATTTAATTTAGTATTGCAGTCGATGAAAGCAATGAGGCACTGTGTGGGTTTTATTTTATTGTATTATATTATATCTTTCAATTTATTGTTATTCTTAAAATATTATTTTTATATTTTCTTACACGTAACCGACATAATATAAAACATTTTATGTGCATTGCGAGCTCGATAACACGACAAAACGAATTCAAAAGTTGGTGGTAGATTTATCTTTACAACTCAATATATATTGAGTTGAATAACGACATAGATTTTCAATTTTGAAATTGAAAATCACGTTTTGTTGTATCTGCAATCTGCAGAACGCGAATGCCATTAAATGTACGTTGCACTTCAAAAATTGTTCAAAGTGTTATTCTATATGAATAATTTCTAAAAAATACATTAGTTAAGATACATATTATGTGCTAAGCTTAATTTGTTTTTACTTATAGCAAATCTTTTAAATTCGAAAACGTGAAAATTAAAATTAAACCAAGTCTTGTACACGATAAAAAAAACATAATAATAACAAAAATCGCTAAATTCCTTTAGGTAATAGATTGTAATTAATAATTATCATATATTAATTTTAACGATAAAATAAGACTCAAGAATTATATAATGTGCAGTGTGCATTATGTCACTTACTAAATAAATTTAAATTTAAATAATATGTTTATATAAGATTTGGCCGAAAATATGTTTTAATTTTAGAAATTGCTTTAAAAGGCACATTTATATCAAATACATTGTTACCTATTAATACTATTTTCTATAGCACCGTCAAAACATATTATATTATCTTATTAACAATAAATTATGATCTATGAAATGTTAGGAACTTATAGTTAAAACGTTTATGTAATATTTCTAAAACGGAAACTAATTTACAATCCTTTACATTATTTTTATCAATAGTTATATAATTTTTTTAACACATTTCATCGGTATTTTAGTCACTCAAAGTGTATTTCCTGCCCAGAATTGATGGCCTTAAAACATAGATTAGTTTCCGTTTTGGAACACACACACAATACATGATATTCATCATTCGGTTCAGTGCCATTTAAATTGCGCTAAAAAAGTTAAATAATATAAAACTAATAACGATTACCTATACAAGTAGTATAATTTGTTTTTATATACTACAATTAAGGAAGTAACCTTAAAAGTCGTGTAAAAATAACATAGCTCAGAAATGTAAACTTATTGAAAATCGTGTCACAAAACAAACATGAATGTAGGTAGTTATGCTTAAAATTATGGTAAAAAAAATACCAAACAGTTCTATTATTTGTTTAGTCAAATTAAAAAATAATTTTTAACCATAAACGCAATCATATCTAATGTATACTCATATTACAGTGTTTGATAGGGATATGTAAAAAATTGCATATATTTAGGCTTAAAATACCAATTCATTTTTTTACACCAAAAAATATCAAATATTCTTGTTTTTTCTTTCATAGTTTCATACTATTTAAATAATTTATTAAATGCAGTGTGTTAATTCTGAAGACATTATAATAATATACAATATATACTATTATACAAGTCATACTAAAAAAAAACATTAACATTGACTAGTATAATTATTTCATATTAATTAGAATAATAATATTAAAAACGTCGATAATTTGTTACGAACAATTAATTGTTAGTTGTTACATATTATTGAAATTAAATTAATAATTATTTGAGAGAAACAAACCGAAAAAATAGTTACAATTGTGTATAGTATTAAATGTTATGTAAGTAAGTAGGTATACTTAAGAGTCCATCAGTGGCGTAATTTGGTTATGGTTGTGGGGGGGGGGGATGAAATGTATGTACATTTCACCAATTACCCCCCCCCCCCTCAACATTTTTTTTTTAACCGTATAAGGCATAAGCTATAAGCAATAAGCACCCCTCAATACAAGAATACAACCATTATGATCTGTATGTAATAACTAGTAGCCGGAATTATATTCTTTTGCATATTTTTTTTTAGTCTATGCAGTCATTCGGGGGTTCGAAATCTTTACAAATCATGAAACAGGTGAGTTAATGGCAAAAGTTTATTTTGCATATTTGGGAATATTTCAAGATAAAAGAATATTTCGTATAATAAAAAATATTAGAGAATATATCGATTAATTTTTGTAGATGTTCGATATTTTTTGTTGCAGTGGCCTAAATAATATAAATAGCACATATAAAAACATTTTAACCGACCGTTGTACAAATATGACATCAGGGAACATGGAACAAAATATAGTTGTCAACTGTTTTCAAAAATTTTCTTAGTTAAAAATTTAAAATAATTAAATATTAAATCAAACTTTTCTTAACAAGTAGTATTTTTTATTATGTAGGTACCTATATTTATATCAGGTTTTTATATTATTTTGCATATTATGTACCTATTTATTTATATGAGTTCGTATTATTTGCTTAATTATTTTGCATATAAATGCATATTTTTAGTTCAAGAGAATATTTAAATAAAAAAGCATTTTTTTTTGCATATTTTATTATTATTTTTAAAGAATATTGGAAGAATATTTTCAACTTTTTAAGAGAATATTAGCATCTCATTTTGGCTATTTTAAAAGAATATAATTGTATCACAGTGTGATCACGATTTTAGGTACCACTGAATATCTCAGATGGCTGACTTTGTATTGAAATGGGGTTTTCGGGAGGTGATAGCCGATAGGAAGCACTTAAATACATATTTTCAGACCAGTTTAAAATTTTTAGCTCACTCGGTATGCGCATGCGCAATTTGACTTACTTTTTGTTAAATGGCAACCCCACTTTTTTTCTACAGATTCGGGTAGAGTATTTTTTTTTTAAACATTTTTTGTATTGAAAGTTTTTCTATTTATAAAACTGACCAAGTTAGAGAAAGTCAAATTTTGGATTTATTCATAATACGTGTTTAATGCAATTTGCATTTATAACCAGTTGAAATAATAAAATAAGTGCCAAATAAATGTTTGATTAGGGGGGGGGGGTGGCTGAGTGGACTAAGGCGTCGGTTGTGGCCGATTTCCGTCCGCCATTAAACATTTATTTGGCTCTTATTTTATTATTTCAACTGGTTATAAATGAAAATATCATTAAACACGAATTATGCATAAATATTCAAAAATAAATACTCTACCTGAATCTACAGAAAAAACTGGGGTTGCCATTTAAAAAAAAGTAATATTGCGCATGCGGCATGCGCGTACCGAGTGAGCTAAAAATTTGAAACTGGTCTGAAAATATGTATTTAAGTGCTCCTATCACCTCCCGAAAACCCCATTTCAATACAAAGTCATCCATCTGTGATATTCAGTGGTACCTAAAATCGTGATCACACTGTATATGATAATA